TTAGGCACGGGGCCCGATTCGGGGGAATTGGTGGAATTGGCCTAAAGCCAGCCCTGATTCTAGGATCTGGACTGTGGGCAGGGCTCGGACTGAGAAAGAACTGGGGGGATGGGGGCAGCGTTCTCGGGTCTTGTCTGTCCTGCCACTGTTTGCAGTCTGGTAGCCGTGTCTGTCCCTGGATGGTGGAGTGACAAGGTGGGTGAGGGAATAGCTGTAGCTGGGCCCAGACAGGATATTACCTCACCCCCTCCCTCCACCACTACTTAGCTTTTAAGTGGCGCTGTTCAGCCATGGATATCAAAGCACTTTTCTCTATCCCCATTTTAGAGATGGAGAAACTGAGGCACAGAGAGGGGACGTGACCAGCCAAAGTCACCCAGCAGGTGAGCGGTAGAGCTGGGGGCTCTGGCTGTTGGACCACGCTGCCTCCTTCAAGGCTATCACTCGGACGGGTGTGGCTAGCGTTCCAACAGCCCCATCCCCCAGCCCTGCTCCTGGGAGGGTCAGACGACGGTGGTCAATGCCCGGGCATCCGTGCTCCAGCACAGAGCCATGGGGGGAGACTTTCGAAAACCTGCTAGAGGCTCAGCTGCAGGGAGAGAGAACAGAACAGCTGGCATGTCCCAGGCTTGTGCTGGGTGTGTGTGTGGTTACAGTGGAGGTGCTGGCGATGGGATGAGATTGCCGAGCTGTGCGTTTCCCATGCACCTAGGAGTACCTCCCCTGCACTCTAACGACTGCTGACTCTGTCTGACCCGAGTGCTTAGCTGGGGGGAGGGATAGCTCAGTGGTTTGAGCATTGGCCTGCTTAAACCCAGGGTTGTTAGTTCAATCCTTGAGAGGGCCATTTAGGGATCTGGGGCAAAAATGTGTCAGGGGGTTGGACTAGATGACCTCCTGAGATTCTATGATTTTAAGTTGCCTGTGGGTTGTTCCTGGGAGGAGAAGAAACTGAAGATTTGCAGTCCTGATTCTGTACAAAGTCTGTTTCCCTGAACACAGCAGGAATCAGACAGCAAGACCCAGCTTCTTTGCTCACAACCCCAAGCCCCCTTCAGCCAGCACTTTGCCCAAAAGCTCTCCCTGTTAGCCTTTTCTCAGGGCCACACTCCCAGTGTTTCTGTGGCGGGTGCTTCTCTGCCGCCTTCTTTGCTCTGCCTCTCTTTTACCCACATGCCAGCCTTCACGAAACAATACCCAGCAAAACTCCTCCCACATGGATCTGCACTTTGGGGAGCAGGCTGCTGTTGTTTCAGCTACCTGGTTCCGCAAAGGAGCTTAATTGTTTCTTCCGTTTATCCCAGATGAAGGACAGCTTTTGCCACCCAACTGTTTCAACAAAGTTTCAACCCGTAACCCCACTTCCCCATGCTGCCATTCAAAGCCACTCCTCTGCACTGAGCAGCAGCCATTGTAATAAAACCGTGCGCCACGCCTGAGCCGCACAGCCATCTCCGCCGGCAGTGTTCCCTGCACTGCACACGTAGCGCTGGGATGGGCTGCCCATCAGGCGGTTGGACGGGGGCTGCTCCCCTACAGCCAACCCCCCAGCTTTGCAGGGGCGTGGAGGCAGATGGAGACAGGGAGCCCATGCAGGGGCCTGGCCGCTGTGTGTTAAAGACAGAGGCAGCACGCAGGGCAGGGGAGTGGAGGACTCTGGGAATGGCTGCAGCGTGACTCGGCGGTGGAGGCCTGTCTCCCCGGGAAGCAGAGGCTGCAGGGCCGTCTGCCCAGACAGCTGAGCCCTCCCGGCCGGGCCCAGCTGTGAGCTTCTCTCATTGCACAAGCCGCTGAGGCCAGTATCCTCCTTGGGCTTCCTCCAGCTGAGTCGCTGGCCTCCAGCAGGCCTGTGGGAGCCCATCCTGCCGCCCAGGGAGCTCCCAGCCGCGGCCGGCTAATCCCGGCCTTGTCTCGTGGTTCAGTCCCGTCTCCCCGCATGGCACTCAGCTTCCCCCACCCCCAAGCCGCTGTTCTGTTGTCGGGAGGCCGATAAGAGATCTCCAACATGTTTCAACTCCTGCTTTCGCTCACTGGCTTCAAAGCCAGCCCCAGCCCGTGAGCTGTGTTGGGGCTGCTCCGGCTGCCCAGACGGGGGCTGCTCCGTGGCTAGACTCCAGCCAGGTCCTGTGGCCCGGGTTGGTCAGTGACCTGTGAGGCAGAGCTTCCTCTAGCCCAAAGGATTTCATGAAAATCCCAGATGGAAAAGTGTCAGCGGCCGCCCCGCCCCGCCCGGTTGGCTAAAGCGTGATCCTTCGGGAGAGTGCTTTGGGCAGCATCGCCTTCAAATGCCTCCGATCCAGGGACTTCCCCTCTGCTCCTCCCCAGACTGGCTCTTCCGCACGGGATGTGCTCCTAACTCTCACTCCAGTCTCGGGGCCCGACTCTCCTCTCCCTCGCTCTGCTGCAGATCGACAGCAGCTCCACGGAAGACATGGGGAGTTTTGGCCGAGTACCGGATTTCGTTAGCGGAATCGTTCCCCGTTGCATATGAATCTTCGCTTGCGCTGGCGCAAATCCGTTACCATCACCTGACTCGCTCCCTAAACGAGCCCCCCTGTGATTTGAAGACCAGGCGGCGCGTCCAGGATCTATTGCATTCTGGGAACAATGGGAGCTCAGCGTCGTGCTGGAAGTCGTGCTGGGAAAGCCAGACTCAGTCGGGCCCTTTAAAGTTCATTGAAGGAAACAAGGGGGTGAACCCTCACACTCCTGCCAGGGAGCAGAAATGTCCACCTGTTACAGCCAGACTCAGCCTCGACTGCTGAGACGCTCCACTGGGTTATCCCAAATTCTGGGGAATATTTGCACCCTCCTTTCTTTACAACACAAACAGCAATTTCAGCAGGCCTAACCTAGGGCAGCTATCTAATGGGTCCTCGGGAGCAATTGTGGGGAAATACTGGAACAAGGAAGGACTCTGTGAGAGGGAGCACAGTGGGTGTGTCTCGCCTGGTACAATCTGCACTGAGCTGAACGCACAAAGCTGACTCCCACAGACTCCTAGAACTGTGAAGGGGGAGCGGGAACCCATCCCACGAGGGATGAAACCAAGAGCCTTCCAAGTTGTTCATCTAAAAACAGAGGGGTAGGGAGAGGAGAGGAGGAAGTGCCCTAGCTCAGCAGTCAAGGGCTCATCTGGAAGTGCGACTTGAACCTTGGCCGTCTAGACTATTCTGTGGTGGGGTTCTCCCCGGTGGAGTGAGTCTACTGTGTATAACGACTTAACGATTCATTATGGCAGAGTCTGAGAGAGACACGGACTCTGTGGCCCAGTGCTTGGGGCCCTGACCTCAGACATGAGAGGCCCATGTTCCAATCCCAGTGTTTCTTCAACCTGGGTCCCTGCCCGCTCCAGGGAGTGCCCTTGCTACCAAGTTATTCTGGGGTCTCTCTTCACTTCGGTCCAGGACCTGCACAAAGTCTCATCAAACCCAGCCCTTTCCCATGACCAGTTTTGTCCATTTCGTCAAGACACGCCCGACCAGCGCTGTGGCAGGGCACAGGAAAGGAAATCACTAGCTAAACAGTGACATGTCCCGCAGTAGCATCCAGCGAGACACTGGCGTTTCCTGAACCAGCAATGTGCAGGGGAATCGGTTTCCTTTGATCTTGAGCGTAATGCCACGTTAAAACCGGGCCTTTATTTAACGAGACAAAGGCTGCTTGTGTAGCACCAATTCTGACAGTTTAGGATTTGGAGTTGTCTGGCCATTATTGGGGTGGGTGATGTATGTGTGGGGGAGGTGCGTGCATGCTGTACTTTATGGGGGAGTACAGTACTGTCTCGTGGCTAGAGCGCTGATCTGGGAGCTAAGAAGTCTGAGTTCTATTCCTCGCTCCGGCTGCCTACTCTTGGGTGAGTCACTTGCCTCTGGCTCCCCTCCCATCCTTTGCTTATCTCATCTGTTTAGATTGTAAAGCCTTTGGGGCAGGGACGGTCTCTTAGTCGGTCTTTGTACAGCACCTAGCACGGTGGAGCCTCTAGGCCCTGCCCCCTCATAACAATACCTTCGCTATGTGACCTGTATAACGGGTGCAAGAACACTCACCTAGTTCACAGAGCTTTTGCAAAATTTAATTAGCATCTCTTAGGTGCTTTGCTATCTGTGGATGACGGGCACTGTTCCAGAGAGAGGAGGAGGAATTCCTGACCCTGTCTATCCAGTAGAGAGCAGTGGTCCTCATGTATCCTAGCTAGCAAGATGCGAGAATAGGTCTCATGACAAGGTCACAGCTTCCATTCAGTGCAAGCCTAGTGAGAAAGACACCTGATGCTCCTCCCAGGACTCTGGGTGGTTCTCATTGCATGAGAACAGCAGCAAAGCACGGCTGAGAGCCCTCCAGCCCCGCCCTGTGTCCAGAGCGCAGCACAATACAGATTTGAAGACCCCGGGGTTTTCCACCGCGCTGTTTCTCTGGGGCCAGCAGACAGCGCTTTTAAGGTCAAGTCGCTCGTGTCAAGCATTCGTGACTGCATAGCTGGACACGAAGGCAGTGGGGATTGGGGAGCGCCTGTGAGTGGCCCGAGGCTGAGAGGGGGCCAAGACACAGAGGCCAGCACTTTTCCCAGAGGTGTTTGCTAGCGGGGAGGTGCTCCTTGTCTCAGTGGCATTTTGAGATAGGGATGGGGCCCGAGTCTGGATCCAGGCCCGAGTTCCATGGGGCTCGGATCCAGGGAGTGGTTACACCTGGGACACGGATCCAGACCCAGTCATCCCCACTTTTCAGGGTTGTAGGACAAGGGGTGACTGACTGCACCCCAAAAATCTCAAAGACACAGGAGGGTCCTGACCTGGGCCCAAGCTGCCAGCCTGCATTGCAATGGGCACTAGCACATCCGGAGCTGGGGGGAGCAAGGGGCCCCTGGTTTCCTGCAGAGAGGGGATTCTCCTGCAGGTCTCAGCCTGTCTCACTAGGAGTGGGGACAAGACGGGGCCATTAGCACTTCCCAGGCGGGTCTCTGGGCCTGGAAGCTAAAACGTTTTATTCTCTCTTTGCAGTTAAAAAAGCCAAGTTTGACGGGGCCCAAGGTAAGTCGCTCCCGCTACCCCTGGTCACATGGGCGATACGGGTGCCTGGGGCAGGAGCCTCTCCCCAGCCGCACTGCAGGAGGGGGCCGGGTTTCCCACAGGGGGTTAGTGTGGGTCTGACTTTAAAAAGCCGAGTGGGCTGCTGAGACGAAGGGTCATTGAGGGCCCCTGGGTGAGCAGCTTGGGTTTGCTGGGGAGAACACGCAGAGGGAATAGGCAAGAGGAGCCTCGAGGCCTGAGGCAGGGGCGCCTGTACCCCCGAGCTAGGCCTCGTTCCAAGGACTCATGGTGGGGCCTGTCCCAGCTTCCCCAGGGTTTACCGAAAAGGATCAGCAGAGACAAAGGACAAAATAGAGAGGAAGTGGGGTCCAGTGGTTAGAGCTGGGGAGTTGGTGTCAGGACTCCTGGTTCTATCCCTGGCTTTGGGAGAGGAGTGGAGTCTAGACACACGTGGGTCACACACACACACACTGCACCCACGTCTACAAGCATACTATACATACCCATACCTATGCTGTGTGCACACATTCACACACACACATATCTCACTGGCTTCCTTCCTGTGACGCCTGGGCAGGAGGGCTCTTTTCACCCCATCTGTGAAGAGCTGGGGGGCACCCCGCTCCGCTCCCGCACCTGGGATGGGAAGGCCCAGCAGCTGTAGAGCAGGCGTGCAGAGGGGCTTTGTTCTCTAGCTCCCCTCGTGGGGGCAGGAACCATCCAGAGCTGACGGAGTTTGGCCCCCTTGTCCCCTGTTTGCACAGAGCGCCAAGCATCAGGGGAGCTGAGCTGGCACCAGGAGCGCCCCCTGCTGGAGAGCGGAGCTGAGTGCAATCCCCCTCTGCCCCTGCCTCTACCAGCGCTGGCCTGGGAGGGTGGGAGGTATCCCATGCACACAGCCAGGGGTCAAGGTGGGGAGCGCCGAGTGAGGCCCTGGGGGGTGGGGGCGGGGGTCGAGGGGGGGAGCCAGCCAGGCGGCCAGAAGCAGTTCTGATGAAACACCCAACGGGGTGAGCGACGCCCCAGGTTCAGGGTGGGGGGTGGGTGCTGAGCTGGAGGAGAGGAGCCAAGCCGCTCTCGCTCTAGTCACTCCTGGACACAGCCCCTCTGCAGTCCCCCCACACACACCTCTGCAATGCCCCCCACCCACCAGCTGGTACTGCCATCTCTGCCCAGGGAGAGTGAAACGCAGACCAGGCCAGAGTGGGTGGACTGAGGGGCATTAGCAGAGCCGGGGGAGGAGGGGCAGATCCCAGGGCTGGGCTAGCAGGGGGCTGCGGGTCAGGAGTGAGGGGTGTTAGCAGAGCTGTATAGGACAGTCGGGTCAGATATGCTGCATGTGGGCTGAAGCAGCGTCGGGAGCTGACCATGCCCCTAGCTAGCGACAAACTCTGCTGAAAGTTCTTGTGTGGGACAGTCCCAAAGTCTAATCCCTCCTGTCAGGGATCTGGCGTGGTCTGTAATGGCCGCTCCCTACGGCCAATGGCTGGGTGTACTGCAAGGGGGCGGATCCTGGCCCAGGGACCCTCTGGCGACAGCCTCACTGTCCTCCTTCTCTCCCCTCCGTCTGCCTACTTCCCTGGGCCGCTCCCCCTACGGCCCCTTGCACCCGCTAGGCCCTTCCCTTCAGGGCCTGCAGCCTGGCAGGCCTCAGGCTAGAGCGCCACTCTGCTTCCCTGAGCCTGCCCAGCACTGCGCGGTGCTGGGTGCTGGTCTCCTGCTCAGGAGACAGACCTTCCCCTCTCAAAGCCCTGGGACAGACTCCCTGTGCCCCTCCTGAGCAGCCTTTTTATAGGGCTGAGCCTGGCCCTGATTGGCTCCCAATAAGCCCTTCTCTGATTGGCTACCAGTCTACGCAGGCCCACTGGCCTGTTGCAGCCTAAATTCTCCAGGAGTGGGGTAGTTGCCCCGCTACGAGGGCCGGCTCCAGGGTTTTGGCCACCCCAAGCAGCCAAACAAACAAAAAGCTGCGATCGCGATCTGCGGCGGCAATTCGGCAGGAGGTCCTTCGCTCCGAGCAGGAGTGAGGGACCGTCCGCCGAATTGCCACCGAACAGCTGTACGTGCCGCCCCTCTCCGAAGTGGCCGCCCCAAGCACCTGCTTGGTAAGCTGGTGCCTGGAGCTGGCCCTGCCCACTACAGAGGGCAATGCAGGGAGAACCTCCCTTGTGTTGGCTGGAGACACTGCATGGGGACAGGGAGGTCCCTGGGCTGATGGGAAGACCAGTGGGTGGCTTTTGAGGCTGGGGGTGGGGAGCACGAGGTTGTCTGACCCGCTCAGGGGGCTTGCGGTGCCCCTGACCCAGGACGGGGCTGATCCAGGCCCAGAACTCCACCCTCTGCTCCCTTCCCTGCAGAGAAGTTCAACACCTATGTGACGCTGAAGGTGCAGAATGTCAAGAGCACGACCATCGCAGTGCGGGGGAACCTGCCCTGCTGGGAGCAGGACTTCATGTTGTGAGTACTCCCTCGGGTGGGGGGGGGCAGGGACCTCCCGCTCTTGGGGGGCTGGTGTCAGAACATAAGAACGGCCAGACTGGGTTAGACCAAAGGTCCATCTAGCCCAGTATCCTGTCCACCGACAGTGGCCAACACCAGGTGCCCCAGAGGGAATGAACAGAACAGGGAATCATCAAGTGATCCATCCTGTCGCCCATTCCCAGCTTCTGGCAAACAGAGGCTAGGGACACCATCCCTGCCCGTCCTGGGTAATAGCCATTGATGGACCTGTCCTCCATGAATCTATCTTGCTCCCTTTTGAACCCTGTTATAGTACTGGCCTTCACAACACCCTCTGGCAAGGAGTTCCACAGGTTGACAGAGCGTTGTGTGAAAAAATACTTTCTTGTGTTTGTTTTAAACCTGCTACCTATTAATTTCATTTGGTGGCTCCTTGTTCTTGTACAGCTCTACCCCTATATAACACTGTCCTCGGGAGCCAAAAATTTTTACCGCATTATAGGTGAAACCACGTTATATCGAACTTGCTTTGATCCGCCAGAGTGCGCAGCCCTGCCCCCCCCCCCCCGGAGCACTGCTTTACCGCGTTATATCCGAATTCGTGTTATATCGGGTCGCGTTATACCGGGGGAGAGGTGTATTATGAGAAGGAGTAAATAACACTTCCTTATTTACTTTCTCTATACCACTCATGATTTTATAGACCTCTATCATATCCCCCCCTTAGTCGCCTCTTTTCCAAGCTGAAAAGTCCCAGTCTTATTAATCTCTCCTCATACGGAAGCCGTTCTATACCCCTATCATTTTTGTTGCCCTTTTCTAAACCTTTTCCAATTCCAATATCTCTTTTTTGAGATGGGGCGACCACATCTGCGCACAGTATTCAAGGTGTGGGCAAACCATGGATTTATATAAAGGCAATCTGATATTTTCTGTCTTATTATCTATTGCTTTCTTAATGATTCCCAACATTCTGTTCGCTTTTTTGACTGCCACTGCACATTGAGTGGATGATTTCAGAGAACTCTCCACAATGACTCCAAGATCTCTTTCCTGAGTGGTAACAGCTAATTTAGACCCCATCATTGTATACGTATAGTTAGGATTATGTTTTCCAATGTGCATTACTTTGCATTTATCAACCTGGAATTTCATCTTCCATTTTGTTGCCCAGTCACCCAGTTTTGTGAGATCCTTTTGTAGCTCTTTGCAGTCTGCCTGGGACTTAACTATCTTGAGTAGTTTTGTATCATCTGCAAATTTTGCCACCTCACTGTTTACCCCTTTTTCCAGATCGTTTATGAATATGTTGAATAGGACTGGGCACAGTACAGACCCCTGGGGGACATCACTATTTACCTCTCTCCATTCTGAAAACTGACCATTTAGTCCTACCCTTTGTTTCCTGTCTTTTAACCAGTTACTAATCCATGAGAGAACCTTCCCTCTTATCCC